TATCAAATTCAGCTCGTTTGGTTTGATGGAATGGTTTTTTATTCTGTGTATTTTCTTGAGGGAACCACGTGTTCCATTGGTAGTTTCAAAATAAAGGGGTAGAAAAGATTTTACTCGAATCCAATTTTTTACTTCTCACATTTTTTTAATTATTTTTAAATAAATTATTTAATTGCTTTTTTTTCTTCTCTTAACCATTTTTTTTAAGCTTTCGATTTATAAATCTAAAATTTTGAAAAATATTTCAAATTTAAAATTTTCTAAATTTATATGTCTTAAAAATTTATCTATGTATTTTAGATATTTATCTATATATTCATGTAAGATTCCATATTCTATCCCTATCACCCAAACATGAAAATAAAATCAGACTCATTTTTTCATTCTATCAACTGAGCAATAGAATACATATTTAATTTTATTCTTCCTTTTCTTTGATTACAATAGAATATCATTTTTATTCTCCTTCTATTTCATTATACATACCAAATGAGCCAATGGAATAGTAGAATTAGTTTTCTGAGCAAGGGGAAACGCAGATAACACAAAACTGTATTGATCTGCATTATGGATAAAATTAAATATTTTAGAAATGAAGTTAGTGTCAATCTTTCCTAAGTTTTCAAGTGACAACATATGTGTTCCTTGGTTTGCTCCTGATTGTTTTGCTCAAAAACAGACAAAAACAATGATTTTAACCCTTCGTAGTCAGATGATTTTACTGCTACTAATTGTACTTGGTGAGTTGGTTTTGTGTTATGCACTTGTGTAGGGGATTAAGTACAAGGGAATCATCCTATACTTTCAGCAAATTCAGATAATCATTCTCAGTTTTAGTAACACAAATAGACTTGTGTTGTTAAATATACTTTCCTTGAACAACAAGGAAATGATCCTTTGATCCATTACTCGGTCAATGAGCTCATCACTGATGTAAATCAGGTGGAATACTTTACTGAAAAAGTTCACAAAATCTATAAAGAAAATTGTTTATAAATAGCCTCATGAACATGAATCAGATTATGAGACAAACAAGGAAAGCTTTTGAGAGAAAGAGAAAAGAGAGAGATGGGAGAAGACAACAAGGTGATACTACATGGGATGTGGGCTAGCCCTTTCAGCAAGAGAGTGGAGCTGGCTCTGAAGCTTAAAGGCATACCCTTTTACTATGTGGAAGAAGATTTGCAGAACAAAAGCCCACAGCTTCTCTAGTACAATCCTGTTCACAAGAAGATTCCTGTTCTTGTTCATAATGGAAAGCCTATTGCTGAATCACTCGTTATCCTGGAATATATTGATGAAACTTGGAAGAACAGCCCTCGTCTCCTGCCCGAACATCCATACAAAAGAGCTAGAGTTCGGTTCTGGACCAGCTTTGTCCAGCAACAGGCCAGTGACATTGCTTAAATTCACTACAAAGAAAGAGTTTGTCTGTTTTCATCAGAATGAATTCTAATGAATACATAATAGGAGATGATACTAAAAGTATGATTCTGTTGAAGTTTAATCCTAAAGCTGATATAAGGACTAATCTAATGCTTATATTCTTAAATGCAGCTTTTTGATACAATAGTCACAGTGACGAAAACAGACGGAGAAGCACAAGAGAAAGCTGTAAAGCAATTGTTTGAGAAATTACAGGTGCTAGAAGAGGGAATGAAAGAGTTTTTTCCAGATGGAAATCCTTGCATTGACATTGACAATATTGGACTTCTGGACCTTGTGATCTTTTCATTATTTGGCCCCGACAAAATTCAAGAAGGGGTTCTTGGCATAAAGATTGTTGATCCTGAGAAGATTCCATTGATTTTCTCATGGCTGACAGCTATAAACCAGGTGCCTTTGGTGAAAGAGTCGATTCCTCCTCATGATAAGTTGGTTGCAATTCTCAAATTTGTTAGAGAGAATGCCCTTAAGTCTTCTTCAGCTTAGTGTCATGCTGTCTTTGCTTGATGTATTAGACATCGTTCCTTTTCACATGCCTCAAATAAGCAGCAGTAAAGGCCATATCATCTTTGTGACTAGGTTGTTTGAATAAACCTCTTGCTTTCATTGGTGTGATTCAAGCATTTCAAACAAATAAGATTCTGCTATTTCCATTGACAACATTTTGAGTTGAAAAGTCATATGGGAAAAACAATTGGATATGAACTTATGTTATGATGGCATTTTTCTAGGATCATTAGGCAGGAGGAGTTGACCATTTTTCTAGGCTTCCATGAGCAACTCAGCTATGTACTGTAGTTTTCCAATCTGAACAAGAATAAAAATTTCCTCATAGAAAGGTTCATACTTGAGGAAAAATGGAGAGTTGTTCATCAAAGTTTCTTCCACATTCCTAAATGGCATGCCTTTAACCTTATGAACCAATTCCAGTCTCCTAGTCTATGTAGTTCACTTTGTTTTCTCTTCAATCTCTATTATCTGTCTTAAATTGGCCTGGTGGAGTGGAAGCTCCATCTTCCTTCGCTTTCCTCTTAAGGCTTTGCTCACCCATGCCAAAAAGGACATTGTATGACAGTGGTGGATCCAAGATTTCTTTTTCAGGGTATCCACTTATAATATATATAAAAATTACCAACGGATTTATCAATTTTGTAGATGGAAAGGGTGTCAAGAGAAATTCCAAATACTGATTCTTTTTCAGTGTATCCACTTATAATACTCACTACTAGCAGACCTTTTTTTTTTTTTTTACAAAAATAAAAAGGTTTAGGGTGATGGGAGGTTTCTCTATTCCAAAGCCAGGTAGATCACATGGTCAGAGCAATTCCAAAAATTAAACAAATGCTGAATCTTTGACCAGAATAATTAATAATGGAGTTGATCTAAAACTAAATTTGCCAACAAACTAATTGAGCATGAAAATTTTTTTATTAGACAATTTGATTCAAGCCAAAGATAAGGGCCAGCAGGTCAAGAATCAGATCTCAAAACTAAGACAGAAACAAGAGTAACAAGAATTTATCTATTGTCAATTGTCATACAGCAAAAAAAAAAAAGTTGTGATTTCAACAAAGAAAAAAGCACAAGGAGAAAAGTCATACAATTGGGCGCTGGCCATGGTTTTCTTAAGGACCAAGGTACTATATATAAAGCATTCGTATGTACCAAGATATTGGATTTTATCATTGTCTATCCAGAAGGGAAAAAAATAAAATAAAATCTTGGATGGAAGAAGAACTGTCTATGAGCACTTTATTTGTTCAATAAAATATGTTCTAATTCAGAAGGTCATATATTGACTGTTGAGCATCAATTGAGCTATTAAAATATATTACCATTAATGGGGAATTGAGGCAAGTGTCCTTTGTGGAATCTTTATATGACTGTCAGATAACTGAACTGAACATCAAGCAATAGCTCATTGAAAGATAGATACAGGAATTGAGATGGAAGAGGGAAACAAAGTGAAATTACATGGGATGTGGGCTAGTACTCTCTAAGAGGGTGGAACTGGCCCTTAAAATTAAAGGAATATGCTATGAGTAGATTGAAGAAGATTTGAGCAACAAGAGCCAACTGCTCCTCAACTACAATCCTGTTTTCAAGAGGATCCCAGTGCTTGTTCACAATTGAAAACCAATTATTGAGTCCCTTATCATCTTAGAATACATTGATGAAACATGGGTTAATGCTCCTCAGCTCCTGCCTGTTGACCCCTACAAGAAAGCTAGAGTTTGCTTCTGGGCTAGTTTCATTCAACAGCAGGTAAAAACAGCTTTATGTGATTTCATTTAACCCTAATATTTATCAGTACAGAGTTCTCAGAAGTGAATGTGATACCAAAACATTGATTAGTGATAACTGATTGGCACTAATAATTTTGTGAAAATGCAGCTGTTTGAGGACATGGGCAGAGTGATCACAAGTGATGGTGAAGCTCAGGCAAAGGCCATGGAGGAAGCACATAAGAAAATGAAGGTGTTGGAAGAAGGAATGAAGGAGGCTCTCCATCCATTGATGGTGAGAATTTAGGATTCTTGGACATTATGATTAGCGCTACATTCAGCCTCCATGAAGTTTATGAGGGAGTCCTTTGAGTGAAAATGTTAGACCCTGAAAGGAACCCATCGATATTCTCATGGGTGAAAAGCTTGAATGAGTTGCCTGTGGTGAAAGAGCTACTTCCTCCTCATGACAAGCTGGTGGCACTTCTCAAGGTTATCAGACAACAAGCCCTCAAATTTTCTTCAGCTTGACCTTTTAGAATTAGGACTATTGCCTACTTCGATTCAGACTGCTTCAGCTTTAAAGCCATTGTTTATATCATGAATAAATAGCCTGCAAAATTCAAACCACCTTCCTCTGGCTTATCCACACAAAGCCTACACATAATGTACCAAAACTTTATTTTCAATAATAAATTTTGCTTGCAACTTGCAAGCAGAATGAGGTTTTGTTATTAACATCTGGTTCAAATAACAATTCGAATTAGAATTGTTAATAATTGAATCAAATTGTTTTAATATTATGATGCCAATGATGATTTTATTTCAACATAAATTATCAAAGAAGTAAAGAGGAAAATCTCCAACGTTTTCATTGACGTATTGTTGTCTTCTATGTTTTTCTAAAATAAAGGCATTTTTGTTTCTTATAAGTACAATTCATATCAAAAGAACAAAATTGACTGTTTAAAAGCATTCCACTAGCAGCAACAAAAAATTTTGATCAATTTAAGTCTGAATTTAAATTTGGGCAGCTACAGCATCTAAATAGGTGTTCTCCGAAACACAACTTAGGTGTTAAAACATAAGACTTTATATTAAAAATCTCCAGTTTGAATGCACGATGAAGAAGTGAGATTTATGTAACAAAGAAATATAAAATAAAATAAAATAAACCAATCTACCTATAAACCTAAAAGATTTAACACAATTGATATAAACAACTACTTTTATACCTTTATTCATAAATAAATAAATAAATAATCTTCTGATGCGTAAACCAATATCAAAAGTGGCTTCTCAAGGGGAGCAGAGCAGATAAACTATATATTACCATATTACAACTTTTATAGGTATCTTATAAATTCAAAAGATTGCTTACATATAAGTTTATATCCAGGCAAGCACACATAATAACGTCCATGAGATTAAAGTATCAACAGCATAAAATAAGACAAACCATAGCTTTCCAACCAAAGCCAACTAGGGCATAGCAGTATCCTAATTTCTATAAAGTAGAAGAAACAAACATTAATAGCTCCATACAACCAGAGTCTTGAAAACAAGGCAACGTCAAACCGCAGACATATGAATCAGAAGTTCCAGATTTTAACATATGCAAGGCCCTGGTCCAAGAAAATAAAAAGGAAGCTCCATGAATTCCCTACAAATTTGAAGAATCTTCCCAGCTACGCCTTCACATTTTAGCTGCTCCATCATTCAGTTCACGCAACATCACCACATAAAGCCTGTTGTAAATCAAATAATGGAATTTATTATGGAATTAAAGAACGCGAGGAAGGGGAGAGGAACTGGGAAGCACAGTCGTACAAGCACAAATCCAAATGACGAAAACAAACGCTTATACACTTGTTACCTTACACACTTATACGCTTATACACACGCTTATAAACTACAATTCATCAGAGTAAAAATAAAACAGTTTAAAACCCAAACCTTAATTAGATGCATGGGAAAATTTTGGGGCATTGTGAGCAGCAGCAGTATGCGCGACAGCTCGGGCGCCGGTGCAGGCTTTGCTTTTGACCCCATCATCCTGCACCATTAATGGGGCAGAGTTGATTGATTGCTATTCAGAATCATCATAGACTTCTCCATCATCAGAAAGCTCATCAAATGATCTCATGTCAAGCTGATATCGAAGGATGCCTCCAATACCACCAAACCCGCGGCAGAATTGAGAACCCTCCTGTGATTTGTTGGTAACAAACTCAAGACTACAACCAAACCGCTTGTATTCATTAGCAAACCACTCTAAAAGCGGCATCTTCTCCTGAACCTCCATATCAGCAGAGCTGGCTGCATCACGGAAGTTGCTCACATTAGCTTCCTGCTCCTTGTTCAAATGTTTTATGACAACTTCACCAGTAACGCTGTTCTTCAGCACATACCTATTAATGTCCATATTTTCCCACACAATAAGTATCTCAACAGCTCCCATCTCCAAGGCCTTCAATGTGTCATCCACTCCGAAAACATACTTCCCAGTATCTTGACTGATCTCCTCAAAGTATTTCCCTATTAAGCGCTTCTCCTGTATGAATTTCACATTCGACAGGATTTCTGAGGAAAGCTCAATTGCCTGGTTGAAACCATTCTCTCCTCCATAAGAGACATCAACCACATTCAGAATCTTAGCCTGAAGCCGCTGATCAAACATATCTGATTGACTCAGCTCAGTTTTGAAATCAGCTGATCCAGCCAGTATTAATCCAGCAACATTAGGCTGGCTGGTGGCAGGATTGATAAAAAATTGTGTGGCAAGTTCAGCAGTCTTCCTCACATAGTTGTGGCGCTTTTCCATTCGAAGTCGAGCAAAACGAAGGGCCGATTGTCCTCCTCTCCCATGCTTCTTTGGAAGATCAACACTGAACTTATGAAGCACCTCTCTGGAATTACCACTTAACGTCCCAAAAAGAGTCCCATTGCCATCCATCACAATAAAACCAAACTTATCATCTGATTCCAAAAGTTCATTCAGCGCCTCTGTGTGAAACTTGTTGTCACACAGATAGAGAGATGCATTTATAGGCCTGAAAGGCTCAAAATCAATTGTGACTTTCTTCTCCTTCCCATCTTCAGTCACAATTGTTCCTGTGTAGAGCACAAGCCCATTGGGTGGAACCTTACTATAAAGTTTGAGCCTCTGCTGAGCAGAAGTGATTGCACCTAACACAGATTGACGGTTAACTCTGCTTTTGATGTTTGAAGCAGTTCCAAATTCATCTCCCAGCATCTTGGTAACCCTCGATATCTGATCACGTGGTGGCATTATGAGAGATATCATGCTGGTGCCATTACCTCTAGCAGCTTCAAGTGCTTTAATCAGCTTCTTGATCTTCCATATCTCAATATTTTTATCAGTCTCATGACCATCAGCCATTGCTACGAAAAGTAGTAATTGCCGAAAAAGAGCAGCTACAAAATTACCAAGATTATTACCAAACCATAACTTAAAATTATTAAAATCTAGCGCTCTGAGCTGGGCATATAAAACCCGAAAATTTTCTCCTGACTATAAAATCAATCAAACAAAAGAGTCATAACAACATGAGTATTGACAAATAAAAGATCTACATCCGATAAACTACCAAACAAAAAGCAAGTGCGTATCAAATCATAAGCATCACATACTCCAGGCCAAAGCAAGCATCAAGAAATTATATATATAACTTCACTTGCAACACATCTAATTTGTTCGTATTAAAACCAAAGCAAGTTCAAATAACCTAAACTAATTCAGACAATACCACCGACTAGTTTAGTAATCCTTCAAAGAACCATGACAAACTTCAAATACGCAAAGAATCTAGAAAAAAAAAAAAAAAAAAACAAAAAACATGTGGCATCTAGTAATTGGTACTAAATTCCTAACCCTAAATTTTAATAGATATTCACCAAAAAAAAACTAGAGACTTTTCCAGTTTCAATTTATTTGAAAAGAATGGGATATGTTAAACCCTAAATTCTGAAAAAAAAAAAAAAAAAAAACAATGAAATTCGAAGCGATCTATGCATAAGAAGGAAACAAAAGATCGAATCGGAAATCAGACCGAGATAAAATAGTAAAAGCAGGAAAGACAGAAACCTAAGGATAATCGGCTCCGACGGCGTGGAAGATGCTGAAAATCTGTTAGCTTGAGAGGCAGTATGGGAATCGGCAAGTTTCTTTGTATATATAGCTATACAAGAAGCAGCCCTAGCACCCTGCTCGAGGGTACAATAGTAATTTTATTTTTAAATAAAAAAGAAGTTTAATACATATAAAAATTTATTCCGATATTAGTTGCATTAGGAGAAATAAAACATTGAAAGAGTTTTTGTTAAATTATTTTTAAGCAAATATCAATGTATACATTTTTTTTCTTAGGAATTATAAAAAATAAAGCTGAGAAAGAATGCTATTTTTTTTCTTATGCTATATATTCCTTTTTTACCAATAAACTTATCTCATGTTAATTTTTTATTATTTAATATTTTTAAATTTTGATATATATTGTTTTAAATATTTTAATTAATTAAAATTTACAAAATACATCTAAATTTTAATGCATTCAAAATTTTTAGAAAATATTTTTCGTAATTTTTTTAATGATAAATATAAATATAAAATCACAAAATGTCAAATGAAATAACAATAGTATGTGACAAGTTTATTAAGGGAAAGAGTAAATAAATTATCATAATTGTTTAAAATTTTTTGTCAAATAAGTCACAAATCAATTATCAAAACTTACCATTCCCTTTTTAAACCTTAAACCTTATTAACTACAATTAATTTTCGTATTAGCAAAAAGAATAAATATATATATATATATATAATTTAGCATCACACCTTTTAAATTGTTAACAATTATTCATTGTAATTGCTAAAATCAACGTAACAAAATTAATCAATCACTCACCATAGGTATCATTCTAGAAAATACCTACATGTGCAAGGGGTTTATGTATTTGAATCATTATTAAACTCATATTAGATATTAGCAGTAAAATAAAAAGAAGGGGATAAAAGGCTTTTAAAATTATGGGTTTTGCTTTGCTGGTCATTTAATTTATCCATGCATGGGTAATGGAGCATTTACCCAATTTTGGAATTTTGCATTTCAATCCTCAAATTTGGTGCCCTATTATTAAGAACTATTCTCCTCAATATTCTCGCATGCAAAAACTCATCAATCAAAGCAGTTTTTTCTAAGGATTTACTACCAAAATTAGTAGTCACCAACAAACGTATTAAAATGATATGCTTTACATTTTGTTAAAGTTTGAGCATCATATCCTCATCACTTTAGATATATAGGAGTAAGCAGATCATGACCACAAATATTTAATCCATGAAACACCAAATTCTTAAAATTAATATTACCACAAAAAGAATTAAAAATCAAGAACATTATTGTAAACTGAAATTAAATATTTTATAGACCCTTGGTGCAAAGGATTATACTACATAATAGATAGAGAGCAAAAAAGGTTATTTACCTTAATTCCTGATAGGATCTTATTTTGCAGAAAGCAAACTCATCCAGGTATTGATTTACTGACCAAGCCATTTCTTCATACATCACAGAAATTAGCATCTGTTTCTACAATTCAATTTAGGTTATACTGATATTGATGCTTACACTGTCAAGAACAGCTACTGGTTTAATTCGATCAGGCTGACTGCAAGTGCACCTAGTTGAAGAAAACACAGTGACTCGAGTTTGGAATTCTTTGAAGATAATACTCTTTAATGAGAAACTACAAGTGATAGGAGGAGAAGGAAGAGGTAAACATAGTGAAAGCTGGATGGGATAGGGGTTAATCCTTATTCTAAGAGGGTTGAACTGGCCCTTAGAAGTAAAGGCATACCCTATGAGTATATAGAAGAAGATATGAGCAACATAAGTCAATTGCTCTGTTTCAAGAGGATCCCAGTCCTTGTTCACAATGACATCTGTCGTCGAGTCCCTTGTCATCTTAGAATATATTGATGAAACTTGGAATAAAAAAACACTGCTCGGCTCTTGTCTGATATTGATCCATTGAGAAGAGCTAGAGTTCGCTTCTGGGGACGAAGTTTCATTCAACAAGAGGTAAAAATTTGCTAGTATTCATTGTACCATTGATATTGAACTCCTACAGCTTAAAAAATACTAATATTTATATTGTCAGTTACAGTTGTTTGAGGCCTTGACTAGAGTATTTAGTCACATGTGATGGAGAAGTTCAAGCAAAAGCAATTGATGAAGCTCATGATGAAGGTACTGGAAGAGGGAATGAAGGGGTTGTTTTCCAAAATCAGGGTCTCCATCCATTGACAGTGAGAATTAAGGATTGTCAAACATTTTGGTTTGTTCAATAATAAACCCCTACAAAGCTTATGAGGAGGCCTTTGGAGTAAAAATTTTAGACCCACCCGTTCTTATGCTGCAGGGTAAAAACCTTGGAAAGAGCTGCCTTTGGTGCAAGAGCTATACTTACCCCTCATGACAAGCAGGTGGGTCTGCTACAGGTTGTCGGACAAAATGCCCTAAAATTTTCTCCCTCAACTTGACCTCCTATTAACATGGCTTAAAGTTTGCATGTTTTTGTTCGACAAAAGTTTGCCTTTGAGGCCCTTCTATGTATAAGAGGCACAGCAATCAATAACTTCAGCCAATAGCCACCTTTTCTGTAGCTTCCTTGACAGAGAGCTCTTTTGGTCCACCCCAGATGCGTACTAAATTTTGTGATTATGTATAATATGCTTATTATACAATGATATAAGGGTGATAAATACTTGCCCTAACTCATAACTTTACCAAATTGACATTATTGAACCTTATTCCAATTTTTGGCTGAAAACCAGAAGCAAAACAATGTTCTGCTCCTCTATGATTTGGTGAGTTACTGGATGATCATTTTTAACTACTACATTTTCTGTCACTCAAATAAACAAATATACTTTGACCTTGATTGCCTTGGGAAAGAAGGAAATGATCGGGTTAGTTAGTTGTTATGAGCTCATTGATGATGTGGGATCATTTAGTCTAATGGCAAAGGACGTAACCTCGAAAAAGCTAAAATTAATATATTAATGGGCATGACCTAATTATAATTAGACTTAATAATTTTAAATAGACACGAAAAAAAAAAAAAAGTTTACAGTTTAAACTTGACAAATCCCATATGGATTTAGAAAAATAAAAAAACTATTATGCTTGTTTAACATATTTATATAAATTATGATATAATAATTTTTATATTTTTACATATTCATGAATATAGATATAAGTTATTATCATATCATTTCTGACTTTTAGCTTAGGATAACTTAAAAAACCAGCGTCCCGTTTTTTATATTTTATATTTTACTTGATGGCTGGGCAAGCAAACGGCTGACAGATAACTATAGTAAGATTGTTTAAACTCTATATATAGCGATCAGACCTGAAACTACTAAAAAGTGAGAATTAGGAATTAGCCCTTTCATTAAGAGAATTGGCCTAGCTGTTGAAAGAAAGAGAGATGGGAGAAGAAAACAAAGTGATACTTCATGGAATGTGGGCTAGCCCTTTCTCTAAGAGGGTGGAATTGGCCCTCAGGCTTAAAGGAGTGCGCTTTGAGTATGTGGAAGAAGATTTGGGGAATAAAACCCCACAGCTCCTCCAGTACAATCCTGTTTACAAGAAGGTTCCGGTTCTTGTTCATAATGGAAAGCCAATTGCTGAATCTCTCGTCATCCTGGAATATATTGATGAAACCTGGAAGAATAGCCCTCAACTCCTTCCTGTGGATCCATATAAAAGAGCCAAAGTTCGCTTCTGGACAAGCTTTATCGAACAACAGGTTAGACAGTATTCGTGATTCTATATGTAATAGAAGATAATACTAATATGATTCTATATAAAGTGAAGCTAATACAAGGAGTTTTGAAAATATTCTTGAATGCAGCTGTTTAAGACTATGATCACAGTGATTAAAACTGATGGAGAAGCACAAGAGAAAGTCATCAAGGAAGAGTTAGAGAAATTAGAGGTGCTAGAAGAGGGAATGAAAGAGTTTTTTCCAGATGGGAGTCCTTCCATTGATAGTGAGAATGTGGGACTCCTTGACCTTGTATTCTGTTCGTCGGTTGGACTCGAAGAAATTCGAAAAGAAGTACTCGGCATACAGATTATAGATCCAGAAAAGACTCCATTGATATTTTCCTGGTTAAAAGCTATAAACCAGCTGCCGGTGGTGAAAGAGCACACTCCTCCTCATGACAAGTTGGTGGCATTTCTTAAATTCATCAGAGAGAATGCTCTCAACTCTTCTTCAACTTAGTATGATTGACGGTTTGCCTTTTAGGCCCTGATACGTGTGTTTAGCCACCCTTCCTCTAGCTTCTTTTCCAGAGAGCTTTCACCCCTACATGTGCACTAAAATCTTGGTTTCAATAATAAATTTTGTTAAGAAGGACAAACAAAATAATCTACTTCTCTAACGAAGCCACAGATGGCCGGTTGTTCGATTAACATAATTCAGAGACACGACAAGGCTTTAATTAACTACCAAGCAAAAGTTACAGGATGAAATGGGGACTGTCGACAGATTTCACTTTTGTCTTTAAAATCTGAAAATAATGGCTAATGCTAATGATATTTAAGATAACCAGTATAGGGATATATTCCATGGCTTCCGCGCTAACCAAGACATTGGACTGGTCAATGGCCCTGGGATTGAAGTCAGGAAAAAAAAAATAATAGCGATTCAATCATGAAAAAAAAAAAGAAAGAAAGAACTCATCCCATGGATATGCTAGTTGTTTAAATCCCAAGTCAAAGTTCATATTTATTTGTAGATTTGACAATCCCAAAAGTGTCAAGACATGTTGAACATTCTATTCATTAAATGGTACAGCATAAATACAAAACCAAAGCAATAGCAACAAAAAGAAGGGGAAGATACAGAGATGGAGGAAGAAAAGGAAGTGAAATTGCATGGGATGCGGGCTGCTAAATATAGAAGAAGACTTGAGCAAAAAGAGCCAGCTGCTCCTCCTATATAATCCAGTTCACAAGAAGGTCCCCCGTACTTGTCCGCAATGAAAACCCCATAGCTGAGTCCTCTGTCATCCTGGAATATATTGATGAAACCTGGACTACTGCTCCTCGGCTCCTCCCTGATGATCCCTATCAGAGAGCTCAAGTTCGATTCTCGGCAAGTTTTATCCAGCAACATGTAAAAGAACGATGTTTTAACTTTTAAATCACCTGAAATAGGTATGCTACTCTTTATTTTCATTTCCCTTCCTTATATACTCGTGTGACAAATTTGATCAGGGTACCGATGAAGAAAGAGCTACCACCTCCATATGAGAAGCTTTTAGCGCTTCTTCAATTTGTTAGACAAAATGCCCTCAAATCTTCCACTTACCACTCCTCTTTGATACCATATCAATGTTGCAAAACTGAAGTCCGGTGAACTAAATTGAATTTGAGGAATTATTCCTTTTATGTTCTTGTGAGTTAATCTTTTCATGAGTTAATAGCTCAATATGTTAGCTTTTATTTAAATAGTAGAAAAGGAAAAAGAAACCCATCCCTCAAAAAATTTAGTTAATTTCCTGCAACCAGATAAATTACTAATTACTATGGCATGCAAATGGTTTATCTTGGATAAGCATGAGTGATAAAAGAGCTGAAGCAGATCCATAGACAAGAAGAAAAAGAGTCAAACCAAAAACTAAATGCTCATTCGTGTTTAAACAAACACCTCACAATAATAATTTGCAAAATTCATCATCTCTTCAAGTCAAAATTTAATTGAAACAAATTAAAATTGAAATTAGAGCTTGTCTCATCTCATCTTTTAGCTCTTTGATGTCTGCTTTTCCTTGGCCTTCTGAATCTTCAAAACCTTCTTCACAATCTTCTGCTCTTCAACCAAAAAGGCTCGAATGATCCTACATAAACATTGAAATTACCAAGAATTATTCATCGGCACAAAAGAAAAGAGCAGTGTCAAGCAATTCACGTTTCAAGTATTTCTATCATTGTATCAAAAAGAAAAGAATTTACTTCCGTGTGGATTGGATATCAAAATTACTTAAGCTCCGTTGGACGGTGCCTTAGATTTTTGCTTTTTGCTATTCGCCCTTTGTTTTTAATACGTTTTTTTTGTTTTTTTTCTTTTTCACTTTGTACTGTGAAAAGCAAAAAGCAAAAAACCCAAAGCAAAAGCCCAGCAGAGCCTAAATTTGACAAATAGATAAAAAAGCACACCTTTCCCTGACTGCACCACCAGACAACACACCACCATAGGCACGGTTCACAGTCCTCCTATTCCTGGGTAACCTAGACCTCTTGTATTCAGCAGGTCTCAAGTGAGGGATCTGCACATAGAGCAATATCGTATACAACAGGAAGATTTATTACTACACGAAGCAGTCGGCCAACTAGCAAAATCAGCACATATTATGTGAAACAACTAAGTTTAACAAAGGCAAAATCATTTGAGCACTCTGAAAATAATCAAAACAATAAGTTCGACTTGTCCCCAAGACAGAAGAAAAATAAATAGTAAAATAAAACACAACACAGTGCAGTAAGAAAGCAGGTGAAGATCAACATAGCAAACTGAACAAGAGAAGTTCAATTCAAAATAAAGTTTTAATCCCAAACCAACTACATCTCCTCACAATGGTACTATTTTGGGGAAACACATTAAATTTAACGGGGGCAAAATGCCCACAAAAAAACAAAATCGGAGCAGTGACGCAATATATCCTTACAGTATGAAAGTAAATCAGAATCAAACAAAGTGCTCAGTTCAAAAATTAAGAACTTGGTATAGTATTTGCATCTATGAAAGTTAGGACAACGTATATAACAAAACAAAACTACATAGAGCTGACCCAACTGTTCCCAGCACTAAAGTTAACTTAACTCTGACAATATCAACTGATTAGCATTGTATATTATCAACATTCTAAGCTCATTCCCGCAGAATATGACAACCCCAACCATCGAAACATTGTAATAAGTCTAAAGGCATTCTTTTTCATTTTCCTTTTCTACTTTTTACAACATTCATAAGCTCGAAATTCTCATATTCGTGACAATATAACAAAAGTTAAATGCTGATACCATGTTAGAGCTCATAAGCTATTCAGAAAGAAATTAATTAAAGAAAATACCCCTTGGATGCGTTTGCCAGTAACAGGACATTTGGGACCGCTAGCTCTCTTCTTAGTTGTCTGGTAGACAAGTTTCCCACCTTCAAATTTCAACCAATGCCCACAAAAATAAGTAAAGCTTTTATTTAAAAAATGCGTATATAACAATATGAATCAATTATTGAAGTAGTATCTAATTACCAGGAGTTTTCACGACTCGATGCTGGTTGGACTTGGTGGCGTAGCTATGGCGCGTCCTGTATGTCAGCCGTTGAACCATTTTTTCCTCTCTCTCTCTCTCTCTCTCTTTCTCTCAGAGTGTGGCTGGAGGCAGAGACCGATGGGCAGCAAGTTAAAGCTTTGGTAATGATTACGTTGCCCTAAATCTGACGGCTATTCTACCTTCTCTTTTAACGGTTGATATTTGCTCTCCCTTTTTTTTTTTTTAATTTACTCTTAAGCAGAAGTGTCAAATATAAGAGCCGGTATTGGGACAATAACGATTTGAATTAAATTTTTTTAGTTAATATATGATATTATAAATTTTTTAAATTTTATATGAATTTGAATTTATCTTTTCTTGAAATCGATATAAATTAAATTTTATTAATTTGATTTGATTTATTGATTTTTTTAATTTTAATTTTTTGTTTTTATATATTATTTTAATATATTTAAATAGATTTATATAAAAAATCATATATAATATTTTATTTATTATATTAAAAATAATATTTAATATATTACTTTATAAAATTTTAATATATATATAAAAGTTAATAAAAATATACAATTTAGTTTAGTTTAATTTTTTTAATTTTTCACTTTTCAATTCAAACCTAATTTATATATTTAATATCTAAATTTAATTTAAATAAAATAAAATATTACGGTAACACAACACAATATATATTGAGAGTGACACGATCCATTATTAAATAATTGAGTTGGTCAAGCATAAAATATATACATGCATCTAGGAGTAAGAAAAAAAAATCAAAAATCGAAAATTGATTTGAAATTATAGGGTTTGGTTATATTTGGATCGTTATTTTTTTATTTGGTTCAAATCAAATTATATATTAAATGTATATATTAAATTCAGATAAATTTCAAATTAAAATGTGAAAAAAAAAAAAAAGAAGAATTGACTTATATATGTTTATTAGTTTTTATATATTTTTTAAAATTTTATTAAATAAAAATAATTATTTTTTATATAAATATATTAAAATATATTAAAATCTTATTAAAATATATAAAAATAAAAATAAAATTTAAAAACCGATGAATCAAACTAAATCGATAGAATTTGGTTCAAAATGGATCAGTTTCAAAATAATATTGGTTCAAATGCAAATCGAATTCTAAAATTTTACAATATTATGTATTGTCTAAAAAATTAAACTGAATTCGATTCAATCTGAACCGTCATTACGTATGTCATAAATTAAAGTTTTTGAATCATTTAAAAAGATTGAATGCAAATCATATTTAATAGATAAAACAAATTTACATTTATAAGAAGATTTATTCTTTGCATATTATTTTGATTTTGGTAAGTTAAATCATTTTAAACTTTTTCAAGTTTTAGATAAAAAATTCAATCTTTTATTTAAATTTATTAAATTGTATGATTGTATGCATTATGTTATGTGTTAAGAATATAGACTGTACTCATAGGTATACACAAATTTATATTTTATCATGTATCATTGTAACCAGGGACGAATGCACATTGAAGACATTGGGGCAACTATCCCCACCGTGATCTTTATACCCTTTAAAAATATATTATAAAAATATTAAACGAATTTAATTCCTTTATATTGACTCACTGAAAACAAAAATAAAAATATATAATATATGTAAAAGTCAAACTCACATTAATTAGAAGTGATATGTTTTCAAATAAAAAAATATTTTAAGGTTATTACAAAAAAATGGGGGCAAATGAATTGGTTGTAAAAATAAATAATCGATTTTCTATTTTCCTTCATCCACCTCACTTGCAACTTTCAGTTTTTCAAGCAGGAACAAAGAGAACCAAAGAAGAAAATTAAAAAAGTAAAAAGAGGAAAAAGAAAGTCTTTAAACTAATGAAACAAATTACAAGTTGGTTATTTTCTTTTTCCAACAAGATATTCAAGTAAATTTTTTTTAATATATTTTGTGATTAGTCAATCAATTTTTTTAATATTTTTTAATATTTTTATATATAATGTTTTTTACTATTTAAAATTTATTATATTTATAAAATAATTTGATCATGTATTCATGTTATTGATAGCATTTATATTTTTTTATCATGTTTGAATTTTTTGTGTTTTATATTTTTCTTTATTTTTTTAGTTATTACTCATTCAGCTAATTACTTTAAGTTTGACAAAGATTAATTTTTATATGGAGATTATAAAATTAGTTAGAAGTTTTATCCAATTTCTTGAATAGTAGTGTGGTTACAGTATGTGAATTGTATTTTTATTCATATATTTCAAATCTAGGGTCACTTGATCTTCATTAACATGCATAATTGTATTTTAAATATGTGTTCTTATTTTTTAAATTATATAAACTAAACTATTTAATTTAATTATTTATGGAGAAATATCTTATTAAAAGGAAGTTAATTTTTAAAAAATCATCTGAAATTAATGCTAGTGACATACAACATTGTACAAAACAAGTTCGTGTTGAATTAAACTTAGATGATTTTCCGTTGTATCCTAGGTTACAAAAAAAATTTTAGACTATAATGCTAATGATAAAAACAAAGTTCAAAGAGCTTATTTACAAAAAAGTTCATGTAAACCTTATAAACATAATTTTTTTCAAAGAAAAATTGGAAAGGCAATATGTCGTTTTATTCTTATGTGGTTCAAAGATTATGTTAATCAGTTTGGAATATAATATAAAAAAGGATGCCATTTTTTGTTTGTATTGTTATTTTTATAGAACATATATTGAAAAGCAAACAAGCGTTGATTGTTTTATTTCAAATAGATTCACAAATTGGAAAAAGAAATAAATATTTGATATTCATGTTGAAAGTCCTAATAGTGTTCATAACAAAGCTCAAAAGCATCATCAAGATTTGCTAAATCAAAATCAACATATTCAATTTGCTTTTGCAAAATAATCTAATCAAGAGCGAAAAGATTATCGAGTTTGCTTAACTGTGACACTTGATTCTATTTACTTTTTTCTATGTCAAGGTTTGGCATTTCATAATAGAGATGAAACTAAAAATTCTCATAATCAAGAAAATTTTATTGAGTTTCTTATATTTCTTGTCAATCATGATGAAACCATCAATAATATTGTCTTAAAGAATTCACCAAAAAATTCAAAAATGATAACGTATGATATTCAAAAAGATCTTGTTCGTGCTGCAACAATTGAGATTACCAACACCATCATGAAAAATCTTGGAAATGGATTATTTTCAATTTTACTTGATGAATCTCGTGATGTTTCAATCAAAGAACAAGTTGTTATTGTTTTTCACTGTGTGGATTCTAAAAGGTATGTTATTGAACATTATTTTAGTATAATACATGTCAATGATGTAACCGTTTTGTCTTTTAAAGCAACTATTGAAGTATTATTCTTTAAGTTATGAATGAGCAAACAACATGCAAGGTGAATTTAATAGATTAAAAACTTTGATCATGAAAGATAATGCATCTGCTTGTTATGTTCATTGGTTTGCTCATCAACTTCAATTGACATTTATAGCCATGGCAAAAATTATGTTCAAATTGCATTATTTCAACATTTGGCAAATGTGGTGAATATTGTTGGGTTTTCATGTAAACGAAGAAATATTCTTCGAGAAAAACAACTTGGTAGACTAGTTGAGGCATTACAAGTCGGTGAAATTTTTACGGGAAGGGATTTAAACCAATAAATAAGTCTTCAATGAGCTGAGGATACATGATAGGGCTCATATTATGAGACTTTGATAAATTTGATCCTTATGTTTAGTTTCATCATTGATTTGCTCGAAATGATTGTAGAGGATGGGAATAGCTCAGAGCAAAGAGGTGAAACTTCTACCTTGTTAGATTCGACCAAATATTTGGACTTTGCTTTCAACTTGCATTTGATGAAAAATATCTTGAAGATTATAAATGAATTATCATTGGTATTATAAAAGGCGAGATCAAAATATTAGGAATGCGACTGCATTAGTAAGAATAGCAAAGCAATGACTACAAATAACGAAAGATGATTATAGGAATCTTGGCATAAAGAGGTTTATTTATTTTATAAGAAAAATAATATTGGCATCCCAAATATGGATGATATGTTTGTAACTTGTGAAAAACCTCGATGCAATGCTCTAACAATGATAGTGTTACATTATTTTTAAATTGAATTGTTTTATATAATAATTGATATGCAACTTTAAAAGCTCAACAATCATTTTAATAAGGTGAATATGAAGTTATTTCTTCGTGTGACTTTTTAAATTCTTATGATTTTTTTACAACTTTTGATAAGAGAAAGTTGATTTTTCTTGCTCAAAATTATCTAGATGAATTTTCTAATGTAGAGCTACTAGTTTTTGACAATCAATTTAAGACTTATATTATTGATTTAAGATCTCATGATGAGTTTATAAGTTTAAAAAGTATTAGTGATATTTTCATGAAACTTGTTGAGACAAAAAAATATTTTGTATATTTATTGGTATACTTATAGATTTAGTTATGATATTATCAAATTTTACTACATTAGTTGAAATAATTTTTTTTGTTATGAAGATTGTGAAGAACTATTTGCACAACCAAATGGAAGATTTTTGAATGAATGATTATTTGGTTACTATATAAGAAAGATATATTTTATAATATTGATAATGAAAAGATTTTACATTGTTTTCAAAATATGAAAAGTCATAGAAAACAATTATAATATGTTATTTTTATATATACAAAAATATTTTTTTATGTATTTTAGTTAACTTATATATATTTAATATTATATATTTATATTTTTAACCCCACTAAGTATAAATCATAAATTCATTCCTGATTGTAACTTATATATAATATATTAACTTACAACTCATGTCCGTAAAAATTACGTTTATCTATTTAATTATGCATGTACATACATATATTCATAATTTTCTAACATTTGTATATCATTCACAAAAAAAATATATAGATATCCAAATATTTAAGAAAATGGTATGGAGTAAGAAGAAAAAGCTTAAATATATATCCAACTAACAAATTATAAGAAAATTATTATAATAAAAAATAAGATAAAAAAATAAAAATTTTAATTGAGTCAAATTAAAACTATATATTCTTTTTAATTAAAGAATGAGAAACTCTAAACGAGGATGGGACAATGGACACTTTGAAACGGGTAAATTGGCAAAATTTTTAAAGAGGTGGCGACCAGAGGTATAGTAGACCATGGACATAACTGAGAAATGAATAACACATCCCGCCATTGCCTCTCTTTGTTAACCAACTGCAAAACCCTCAAAACCCTCAAACAAATCCACGCTTCTCTTGTCAAAACCGGCCACCACTCCGACCCTTTTTTCGCTGGTAAACTGATCCTCCATTGTGCAGTAACGATCTCCGACGCTCTCCACTACGCTTGCCGTTTCTTCCTTCACTTTCCAAAACCGGATGTTTTCATGTATAACACGCTTATTCGAGGGTTCTCAGAATCGGGTTTCCCTCAAAATTCAGTATTTACATTCATAGATATGCGTAGGAAATCAATGGTTCCTCCTGATAGCTTCTCTTTTGCTTTTGTTCTTAAGGCTGCGGCAAATTACGGGTCGTTTATAGCTGGGATTCAGCTGCATTGTCAAGCTTTAGTTCATGGTTTCGATACCCATTTGTTTGTTGGGACGACTTTGATAAGCATGTATGGAGAATGCGGTTCTGTTTATTTTGCAAAGAAAGTGTTTGAACAAATGCTGGAACCAAATGTTGTTGCTTGGAATGCGATTGTTACGGCTTGTTTTAGGTGTGGTGATACAAAGGGTGCACGAAAACTGTTTGATATGATGACTTTTAAGAATTCAACTTCATCGAATGTAATGCTTGCAGGGTATGCGAAATCTGGGGAGATGGAGCTTGCCAGGAAGGTGTTTTGGGAGATGAAAGTGAAGGATGATGTTTCTTGGAGTACTATGATTGTTGGATTTGCTCACAATGGGTGTTTTGATGAGGCTTTTGGATATTTTAGGGAGTTGCGAAGGCTGGGCTTGAGACCCAATGAGGTTAGTTTGACTGGGGTGCTCTCAGGCTGTGCACAAGCGGGGGCGTTTGAGTTTGGTAAAATCTTTCATGGGTTTATTGAGAAATCTGGGTTTAATTGGATTACTTCTGTGAATAATGCACTGGTGGACATGTATGCAAGGTGTGGGAATGTGGGGATGGCTCGATTAGTTTTTCAGAGTATGCCACATAAGAGTGTTGTTTCTTGGACTTCGATGATAGAAGGGCTTGCAATGTATGGTTATGCAGAAGAGGCAGTAGAGGTTTTTCATGAGATGGAAGGGTGCGGAATTAGGCCTGATTGGATTACCTTCGTTTCACTCCTATACGCTTGTAGTCATGCTGGGTTGATTAAACAAGGATGTAGCTATTTTTCTAGGATGAAGGATGTGTATGATATAGAACCAACAATTGAGCACTATGGCTGCATGGTTGATTTGTATGGTCGAGCTGGTTACCTGCAGAAGGCCTATGACTTCGTATGTCAAATGCCAATATCACCTAATGTTATAATTTGGCGGACTCTTCTTGGTGCTTGCAGCATTCATGGGAATGTTGAGTTGGGAGAGAAAGTAAAGGAAAGGCTTTCTGAGCTAGAACCCAATGATTCTGGTGATAATGTGCTGCTGTCAAATATTTATGCAGTTGCAGGGAAATGGAAGGATGTTGCCACTTTGAGGAGGTCAATGACCGATCAGAAGATAAAGAAATCTCCTGGGTGGAGTATGATTGAAGTTGACAGGACCATGTACAGTTTTGTAGCAGGGGAAAAATCTAATAAGACTACAGCAGAGGCTTATGAGAAACTGAAGGAGATAATTTTGACACTTAGGATTGAGGGAGGTTATGTTCCTGAGGTTGCAAGTGTTTTGCATGACGTAGAAGAGGAAGAAAAGGAAGATTCTGTATTCAAGCACAGTGAGAAGCTTGCTGTAGCTTTTGGGATCTCAAGGCTGTGTAAGGGAAGGGTTATAAGAATAGTAAAGAATTTGAGAATATGCAGAGACTGTCATACAGTTATGAAGTTGATCTCTAAGGTGTATGGATTGAAAATTGCGGTCAGAGATAGAAGTCGCTTTCACTTGTTCAATGATGGCTCTTGTTCTTGCAAAGATTACTGGTGATTGGTAAACAGTGAGCATTCAAGCAATGGAAAGTTTCTGCACTCATCAGAAAAGAACTTAAATTTTAAAGGAGAAAACTAACACCAGAACCTGAGAAAGGAAAAACGAGCTATGAATCTGCTTATTAGGGGAAAGTGTTGTGGGAAAATACAATGGCTGAGCTAACCAAGGGATTGGATAGAAGGAAAATTTTGAAAACTAACAATGTTTGATTGAAATTGTGGCATACTGAATTGAAGGGGTGTAGAGCAAATACTTGTAGAGTCTTTCATCAACTTGGGCGGAGATAGTCAACTGAACCTGATAGTGCAGAGTTACTGCAGAGGGACTTGCTGGCCACAGTCTATACTTATTTTAATGACCAGCCTGTACAAATATCAATCCACTTGTTTGTGATGCACCGAGAATTTTCAACTGGAGCTAATCTATGTAGGTGATTGAGAATATGATTATGGCATCCACTTTGGATTAAAATGGGAGAGTAAGAAGACCATTCTTTTGTACCAAACTAAAAAAAAAAAAGAAAAAAACTATTCTTCATGTGTTCAACATTAGATATTGTTTAGAGAGAACTATCATTTTCCTCGTATTTCTTGCTTTCGCAACTCTCTTCACTTTATGCCTGTATAATACCTATATCATTATCTCTGCTTTTCGTTTTCATCTAGGTTGTATTTAGAAATTTTTTTATACAAAGAACACATCAACACGAAAATAAGAAAATGAATTTTAAGGGTTGACATTTGAATTCAGATTTTATTAATTATTTTTAAAAGTGATTGTATTAATTAATTAATTTAAATAGTTTATTTTTATTTAGATACTTGTAATTCTTTTCAAAATTATAGTAATAATAATTAAATTTAATAATTTATATATTATTTATTTTGTATCAAATAAAAAAAATTATTATGTTATAATTTATATCAACATCTTAAATATAAAATTTAATTTTTAATTTTTAAATCTTATTAACTACATAAATTTTATTAAAATTTTAATTTTTAATTTTTAATTTTTATATTTACGAATCCCGCTAAAAATTAACAATCATGAATAACAATAACGCACGAGCAAAACGAGAAAGTTGACAGAGACAGGACTTGGAATGACTGAACATTGATATCGTGAAAAGGTCTGCAGGCTCCTAAGTGCCAAAAAGGTGAGGCAAAAAATCTTGTTCTACTGGGTGGTTCCTGTTTGAAACATATTAAGTGGTTAGTAATACTTGAGAATTCCAACAGAATTTGTCTTCTCAAAAGACCATTGTTCTTTCTTCTTCTTCTCCTCCTCCCCTCCATTCATCTTTAATCTCAAAAAGGCTCTTCCTTTTTCTCTCCTCAAAAGAACTTTTCAATTCTTTTCCATGGCCTCCTTTGCAAACTCCACGTTTTCAATATCACCCTTTGCTGTTACTTGCAAAAACTATAGACCATTTCTCTCTCCAACCTCCGTCTCTCTAAAACCCATTTCCATCAAAGCTTCCTCTGCTTCCCTGGATTACTCTACACCCTCCTCTGTCATTGAACAGAAACCCCTCGAACCCACTAAGGTAAAACATCATGGGAAGTTTTAAACCTGGAAAAATTTTCCATACTTAAACTGTAATTTTGTTGGTCTGGGTTAGTTTGAATTCCTCAATATTTGTTTCATTTTAGTTTGTTTATATTGTCGGTTGTCTCATAGTTTTTTTTTAATCATTCAGACAAATTGTTGGGAATGGAAGTTCAAGGACAATGTAATTCATATATACTATGAAGAGCATGAGAAGGAGAAGGTGAGCAATGATCCTCCAAAGAATATTCTTATGATTCCAACAATATCTGATGTAAGCACTGCGGAAGAGTGGAGAGCCGTAGCTAAAGACATTTTGGAAAGATCTGGTAAAGCCAATTGGCGTGCAATTATTGTTGATTGGCCTGGTTTGGGATACTCTAGCAAGCCAAAGATGGATTATGATGCTGATTTGATGGAAAAATTCATAGTTGATTTTATTAATGAGATAAGTTCCCCAGGTGGGTACCAAAACCTTCTTTCTTTTACATACGTTTATCTATGTTGGTTTTGTTAGTTTGATGCTTTTTCACATTTATAATTTTTAATTGCTTTGATTGTTGTTGATAGTTTGCTTGAATGACATGATTTATCCTTGTTGTGCTTAGCACTGCACAATCTTCTTATTCCTGTTGGGATTTAGGAATGTTTTCTTCTTGTATATCTGTGTTCATTTCTGTTTGTATTTATTTGCAATGTGATTAATTGGTTGGCAGTAAAGAATACCTTTCATTCATCTTCAGTGTCTGTAAAAATTCCTCTTGAAACTACTTTAACATAGGGGATTGTAATGTTTGAGAGCATGTAGATTTTTAACTGCCCCAAAGATGTGAATCAACAAACTAACAGTAAGTCCCTACTAAATGGTCATGTTTGAGGTCGATGTCATTTTGTTTTTCTTGTTTCTTCCATGTTCGGTGTCCTTTCTTCAAACATGATCTGCAATGATGCTTGACCTTCTTGACACTTCTTTCTAGTATGTTTCTTATTATGATACTTTATGCTATTGCTTCTTCTATCCTCTTATAATTCCATGTTTTCTAAGCATGTTATATTTTCATAGTCAAAGTAGCAGTTTATAGTGCCGTATCTGCAAGACTGCTAACATTTTGTCTTCTTTTTTGATATTTTAACCTTTAGATGATATTATGAGAAAGTATTTCTAGACAAATTTAATTAGGAGGCAATATAACTTGCTAATAATTTGTTGCAATTGAAACAGAAAACGATTTGATTGTCTTTGGAGGAGGTCATGCTGCTGCAATAGCAGTTCGTGCAGCAAAAAAGCGGTTGGTGAAGCCAAAAGCTATTGCTGCTGTTGCTCCAACCTGGGCCGGTCCCTTGCCTATTGTGTTTGGTCGAGATTCCAGCATGCAAACAAGGTATTTTAAATGCCGATAACACCTTTGTGGATGTTGACAGCCTGTTTCCTGGCCTTTACCACCAATTATGCTTTCTAGATTGTGAAGTTTAATTAAGGCCTATGCATAAGGTCGTACTTGTTGAGAAAAGGAGTTCAATTTACTCCACCTGATATCATTTCTCTCCTTTGGGACAAAGCTTAATTGCATTAGAGCATCCATTCAATTCTAATGGTGCTAGATTTCTTAACATTAGTTTTGCATCTTCTTTTTACCTAATAATGCGGTGTTTTTGAACACTCTCTAGTCTCAACCTGAGCATTGTTGTTTGATTGCTTTTAAAATTCTCTCATCAATTTCCACCGTATCAAATTTTTTTTTGAAATTATAAATATGATGATTTATATTTGTTTACATTGATGAACCGCTCAATAGATCTTTCATCTATCTCCCATGTAATTATCAGGTATGCGCTGCTGAGGGGCACCTTAAGAGCTCCAGCTGTAGGGCGGATGTTGTATAATATGCTTGTGAGCAATGAGGGCGCAATTGAGTCGCAGTATAAATCTCATGTCTATGCAAATCCTAAAAATGTGACTCCAACAATTGTTCAAAGCAGATACAATTTAACAACGAAGAAAGGATCCCGATATGTGCCTACTGCTTTTTTGACTGGTCTCCTTGACCCTGCTAATTCCCGAGAGGAGTTCCTTGAACACTTTGCTGATTTGGAGGGGAAGATGCCCATTCTGGTTGTGTCAACTGAGGGGTCTCCAAAGAGATCAAAAGCAGAGATGGAAGCTCTCAGGGAAGCCAAAGGAGTAAGCAAGTTTGTTGAGGTTCCTGGTGCCCTTTTGCCTCATGAAGAGTACCCTACTAAGGTGGCAGAGGAGCTTTACCAGTTTTTGCAAGAGAATTTTGAAGTCAATGCTTAGAATCCTTCATGATGGAGCTTCTAACTTCCAGGGAACAATTTTTTTCCACAACAATCATGCTCAATCATTTTTGCATTGCTAGTCAGAATGGTTGTGTCAATGCAAATGTACCCAAAAGGATACCCTGTACAATGATATCTTTATATATATTGCACCTACAATAGGATCAACATTGTTCATCTTCCGGAAAGCAAAAAGTAATGGATGAGAAATATTTTGGGGGTACTGATGAAGGGAAGTTATATAATCTACATCATCATCCGATTGGCAGAAAAATTGCCTGCACTTTATGGTGATCTATGAGGATTATGCATCTTGTTTAGGCTTTTGTTCAATACTGAATATAGTTGCTTGAATCCCCTAGATGGTTTTCCTTTCTAAAGTATTGGTTTCATCTCATGAGGACAAGATCATGTTTGTGTAACTATCTCTTTTGCTTTCTATGTTGTTTAACTTTAGCTCACCCCTTTTCCCTGGGGATGATAGCAGAAAAGATAAAAGAGATGTCAAATCAAAGTTCATCCAAGCCCAAGATTCTGATATTTTCTTGTTTGTGGTGCACATTAGATCCCTAGCCATAACTTAAGCCTCGGACTGAGACTCTGCTCACTGCCTTGCCGCTCAAGCAACACCCTTGGAGACAATTATTAAAAGATTCCATTCCATGAAAATGCTGTAACTTGTGACCCTATAGTTAAGATATAATAAATGGAAATCTTTTTTCGTATATTATCAAATTTTAAAATTTGATTATTTAAATTAAAATTAAAATTTTTTTAATTAGTTACATTATTGAATAAATAAGTTATATTTGGAGCTTATAGGAACATATCAAATAATTCATACATATATGTTTAATACCATTTAAACATAAAAATTTAAGTTTTTGGACTCAAATGTTATCCAACATGTATGTAAGGGTTTCTGATATGCTTTCATAGGTTCTAAGTGTGGCTTATCTCCCCAATAACTGGTATTAGAGCAAAAACTTATTGGTTCGAGCTCCAGTGATGATGTTGAGGGGAGAGATTGTTGACAAATCAAAAATTGATCACGTCCATTAACTCCATATGCTCAAACGTTGGTATCAGAAGATTCGATTTGGATGTAGTGAGTATGTGGAATCGGAACACCTAAAAAAGAAGGCGATGTATTGAATCAACTTGTGATGCAGCGCAATGTTAAGGCTGTGATTGATTGCAAGCTTAAGAAGCACTGAGATAACCTAGGCAACAAGCTTGTGTGTTGTGATTAAGTATAAGCTTGAGGGTCATTGAGACAACCTAGACATGTAGAGAGGTAAAGTTAAATATTGGGCCTAAATACACTAAGATTTAAACAAAATTCACAAGTGAATAAGAAATATTGTTAGGATAAGATTCACATGTGAGTGAAAAATCTAACATTCACTAAAAAATTTGAATAAAATGTCTTATATATATATATTTATATGGAAGACTCAAAAATTCAATAATTTAAGCTTTTAAGCTTAAGTAGTGTTCAACATATATGATCTCTCTCATGTATTCTCATGGCCTCCAAATATAACTTATTTCCTCAACATACTTGGCATTTGGCATAAATGAAATTGTATTATAGGAAGAATATAGGTTTTTTCTTGAAATAGAAAATGCTGCAGAGGCTCTAACGGCATTGACAATAGAGAGAATGCAAAATTGCACTCATCGAACCGTATACAATGAAAAAACCCATTTGAACTATATCAAACACTACAATTCAAATCGATTTTCGATTATGTCATTTTTTTTTTCTCAGCCTTATTCGAGATTGAGAGAAAGGTTCCATTCTTGGGGCTACCCATGTAAAGGCCTAACAAAGAGAATAAACCATTCTGGGCTTTTAGTTTTCCAAATCATTTGGGATATATAATAAAAGGGTTGTTGCCTCTAAATCATCCCTTCATGTCTATCACATTTATTTACCCGGTTTAACAACTCATTTTCACTTTCAAGAATAAATAAATAAATAAATAAATATATATATATATATATATATGCACTCAACATAATTATTCACTATTGTCTCTTATCACATAAAATAAATAAATGAATAAACAAATCTTCGTTGAAAGGATTGATTCATTTGCACATATAGGTTCACAGTCCAATCGAGTTAGTTGAGCTCTCGATTCCTTTCATATTTGAGTCTAGCTTGACTGATTTGAAAGTGGATATGTTTTAGCTGAACTTGATTTAATTCAAGCTTTGTGTTTTGTGGCAAATATTCATTAAAGTATTCGTCATATCCGTGTTTAAGCTCTGATAATGATAATCAAGGAAGCTTTAGTTTGAATTAACATTAGGTTGACATTCTAATTAATTAAGCCACATTAAAATAAAACCTCAATACGATTAACTTATTTATCAGGCCTTTGTCATTCAAAGCTTAGCAAATTATCAATCTAATTCCACTCTATATTAACTCAAATTAATTGTTGAACTAATCACAAGCTTAACAACACCATATATTTATGTGTTTTGAACTCAACTTGATTGTTTAAGGGAAACGGGTCTTACATCTAATAGAAAAGTGTTAGATTGTTGCTTTTAAGGAACATCTTTATTTATCAAAACATCAAAGACTAAAGTGTAAGAAAGATAGCATCATTTTTCAAAACGGATAATATTTCATAATAAATAAAGTGCAATTATTATTACAAACTTTATACTAACTACTAAGGAAAGCTTAGTCCACACCCTTAATTAGAGGTGATGTTTAGAGGAAAAAAGATTTGACAACCAATAGTCAAGAATTGGACTAGATTTGTAAGTAAGGATCATCCTTCTCTTATTGAGACACATTTTTTCAAAAAATAAAACTACAAAAGAGGTCACATCAAACCCTCAAAGCAAAAAATATTTCATAACATATGCAGTTCAATAATTCTTACATCAATATTTAAAATTAAACAAACCCAATTGAATGAGGCATGAGATTTTTACTTGTTTATATATAAGATAAATTAAGCTCAAGTCCAACTTTATAACAATTATATCAAAGTGAACATAAACAAATTGATTGCTATGAACAACTAGCAGGTTTGATTTAGACCCTACTAATTTAAAATTTCCATGAACATACAGATGTGAATAAGAAAGAAAATTGCAACGTTTAAGCCATCTTATGATATAACATGTCAACATCTTGCAGTTAAGAGATTTTATGATTTTTGAATTTTTAGTACGTGTGTTGGAATTATCTTTCCGTATCAATTTAGGAAACTTATACGGTTAAAGTCCAATTACGTTTTTTTTTAATCATCATATTAGGTAATATTATTCATCACAATTAATTAGGTAGGTTTTTCATTAGTTTCTTGATCTGATCCGTTAGATGTTGGTGATTTTCACCTATAATAAAAGTGACAGTGATTTTTCCTAATTATTAATTAAAATCCATTGAACTTGATTTTTTAATTAATTTTTATGGTATTTAAAAGTTTAGATCAGTCTGCATGTACCCTTATTATTTTTCCAATATTTTTTTGGTGTTTGGAGTTCCTTAAAAGATAGAGGCAATGGTGGCTTGAGGGTGTCCATGGAGATTGGCAGAAGAGGCAAGTTTTATTTTTGTAAATTAGTTTTTTTGAAAAATATATATTTATTTTATTTTTTATTTTTTGCAGCAATAAGGAATAACACATGAATATTAACTGGTGAGTAAAATCGCATCAAAATCTTCATGTGCCATGGTGAATTTTGTACCCCATCATCTGCCACATGTTAAAAAAATCTAAGTGTATATTGATTTAACGGTAGCCACAAATTTCATTCAATATATGATTTAATTGATGTAAAATTAAAAATAAAAAACTTAATTAATTGTTTTAAAATTTAAGAATTTAATTTATTTTTTAATTATTTTTCAAGAGTTTTTAATTCTTTGATTTTATATTTTACTCTCATAATAAAACACGAGCCTGAAACCTAATTCCATTAATTAACACCTCTTAATTATTCAATTTTGGAACTATTTATTTCTCTATCTTTAGTGAATTATAGAACAACACGTTTCCGAAAGTTGGACTAGGAAGCAATGATAAGTCATCCGTGATGTTATAACAAGTCATCCCTAGTGTAGAAATGTCAAGCTGCCATTAGACGCCGTTTTCAAGTTGAAAACCATAAAAACGACAGTACAAGATGGTTGCATTATCCTCTACTCTCTAGTCATTATACTTATGATAATGGTTTAAACTTGCAATCAATTTTGCAATCGATGTAATTTTATTATTATATTTTTAATTTGAAATAAAATTATCATTATATTTCAAATTTTAAATCAATTACAAAAATTTTGTCAAAAATTATTTTACGATCCAAAACTTAATTTTTAAAATTATATGATAAAAGAAAAAACAACTATGAAGCTAAAATCTAAATTTTATTTTATTTTTTATTTTATCATGATATTTTTTACTAAATATAATGTCATATCTTTTACATATACTATAATATTATATTTTTTCAATGGGTCTTGATTTTTTTGTCGTGTTTTTTAGAACTTTATTTGAATTGTAAAATAAATTTTAACAAAACTTTTTTCATTGAATATTCTTTAGTTATTTTAAAATTTGAAGTTTATAAATTTACTTTAAAATTAAAAATATATTCATTAAATTAAATCAATTAAAAATTAATAACAAATTTAGACTGTTCACATAAATAAAATAATAAATTTATAGCTTATTCAAAATTTAAAACAATAAAAAAGAACCTCAGCCCTCGAGTGGACAAAAGAAATTTCTCTCAAAGGTTTGACTTCTATAAAAACAAAAACCAAAAACTAACCCCAAAGGTCAACACCTCACACTTTCTTCCCTAGATTAAACCGCATTGAATCATTTATCGGCTCAATGGGACGCCTATCTACAGATCAACACGTGTTAATCTCTGACGTGGTTTTAGATGTGATTTCCACAGAAATTGCTTTTATTTTGGTTCTGTTATTTTCTAAGTTCTTCTACTGTTTGAAAAGTGTCCCTGACCTTTCCTATATCCTAAAAGAAATAAAATAAAATTAATAAAATATTTAGGATCTTGACACCTTGCAACCAAAATTGAACCTAATAATACTGATAAGTGCACCCCAACTATTTACCAAGCCCCACTCATGTGGTTGCTGTCCTCTTTTTTGGGGCACATTTTTTTTTTTTTAAAGATTATGCTTATCAAAAAGAAAAAAAGAAATCTCTAGAAATACATCTTGAAAGGTAGAATTTGAGATCAATCTAAAACCGATTTTAATATCATTAAATTAAAAATTTTGAATTATGATATTGAAATAATCATAATGAAAATTTTGAAATAAAAAAATTATATTCTATTCTACAATTTAAAATTCATAATCATATATGTATTAAGATATTTTTATTTTGTAGATACTATATTAATATATAATATAAGAGAAAAGATTATTCTAAATTGTAATTTTGTTTTTGTCTTTTTTTTTTCTTTAAAAGGAGATGTGACTATTTATTAACAGCAGAAGTCGCATGGCCGCCTCTCTATGATTGGTTACT